AACAAACAAACAAACAACCCACCTGCCTATAAGCAGACACACACACAAACAAACAAACAAACAACCCACCTGCCTATAAGCAGACACACACACACAAACAAACAAACAACCCACCTGCCTATAAACACACACACACACAAACAAACAAACAAACAACCCACCTGCCTATAAGCAGACACACACACAAACAAACAAACAAACAACCCACCTGCCTATAAGCAGACACACACACAGACAAACAAACAAACAACCCACCTTCCTATAAGCAGACACACACACAAACAAACAAACAAACACACAAACAACCCACCTGCCTATAGGCAGACAACAGCCCCGGGTCGACCTGCGCCGCCATCTCCTCCTCCGACCTCTGACCCGGCTTGTCCGAGAACTCGACCTTGGCCGTGCGACCTCGCTTGCCTCCCCTTTTTCTCCCGCTGTTCTCGTTGTAGTCCCCCCTGCCGCCATCCACCGCAACAACCGCAGCAGCAACACCATCGCCAAACGCTTTGTTGTTCACACTTTCATCATCATCATCATCGTCATCATCATCAAGATCACTATACGAACTTTCATAATCTTCATTACGTCCATCATTTCTACCACCCTTTCTCTCAACAACCCCACCACGTTTTTCTCTCTTCTCTCTATTCCCGTCACTCCCTCCGTCTTTTCGTAAATTCCCGGGACGTTTATCTCCGTGGTTATCGCAGGCAGGGGGCGGGACTTCCGATACGACCAACGAGTCGACAGAAACGAGGTCCACAAACTCCGAGCTCTTCTGCGTGCTGGACATGATGGGCGGGTGGAGGGGACCGAAACTCGACGGAGGCCTCTGCTTCTTTCTTTTCTTCCTCCTCCTCTCTCCCTTCTTCCCGTCTTCCATGGGGTTCTGGTTCTCTCTGTCCGGATGTACGTCGTTGTTGTGGTTGTTGTGGTTGTTTTCCTGGCCACCCGTAAAGGCTACGGCGGCTGCCGCGGCATCATACGCCCGATAGGCTTCCGTCTGACTCTCCATATACCTGGTGATCAGCTCGTTTTTCTCGGGAGATAAAAACGCTCGGTTGCCCGCGACGACGTGCACTTGCTGTGGTTTGTTCTCGAAGTAGCGGCCACCACCATCTCCCCCTCCTCCTCCCCTCCCCTCCGACGACCCTTGTTTATCCAACGACCTTTGACCCGTGTTCACACGATCCCTCAACGTTCCGGTTTTACCTCCAGCTTTTCTCCGCTTCTCCCTCTCTACCTCCACCCTCTCCTCCTCCTCCTCCCCCTCAAGAGCTGCAGCAGAGTCGACCGTCAGGGCCAGAATTCGCTTCTGATTGGCCAGCTCCTGGTCGATGAGGGTGGTGAAGGGTCGCGGGGGGCGGGGCTTAGAGCTGGGAGGGG